GAGTTTTGTCAGTTCTACATATAGTTTTGTGATCAGTCCTTTATCACTACTTTTGTGTGAGAAGTGTGAGAAAATGTTTTCCCAATTAGTGGGCTGTCTGTTTGTTTTTTGTAATGTCTCTTTTGCTGTACAGAAGCTCTTTAACTTGATGTAGTCTCATCTATTTGAACTACTTTGAATTTTTATTGAGCTATGACTTTTTTAAAACTAGCTTCTTTTTTGAAGAACTATTGATATCATAGCATGTGTAAAAAATATGTTTTCTAAAGATGTAAGATAAATCATAATGGATTTGGTTCTTTGGCACATTTTGGCATTCTATGCTTTAAAGCATGTCTTAAAGCAGCTCTGAGGATTGGGGGAGGGGTAAGCCTAAATAATAGGATCCCAGGTGACAGGAATCAACCCATGACTCAAATAAAGAGGATGGGTGGGACATTTAGCTTCTAGAAGGACAAGCATTTTCAGCATTTTAATATGTTTGGCTTATTAAATATTACATTATTATTTGGCCCAAAATCATATTATCTGCTTTGATAAATGACTTCATAATAAAACCACCAAATGCAACCACAGGAGACAGAAGCAGAATTAAGAGGTGACTTAAGATGAACATATCACAGGGCAGACAGGCGTGCACAAGGGTTAAGCCACAGGATTCTCTTTCTTACCAGTGTCTTAGCTAAATGATCGCTGATAATTGTTCACACTTTTATGAACAAATATGAGGAAAACCAATGGTTTGTAAGGCCTAGTCTGATCAATGTAATACTGGTATTTGTGATATATGTCATATCATAGTATATCATACAGATGATGTATATGCCAATGAATCAAGGGCTGGCAAACTATTCTCCGGGTACTTGGTTATAAACATTGAATTAAGATTGAGGTGTACCTTCTTTGTCTATGTGCCCTTAGTTTTACTTTTAGTTAGTTTTAGTTTAGGTTAGTTTTTCTCCATTAGCCCTGTGATCATACCTTGATTTTAAAGACTATAGCTGTAGATATGTACATGTATGTATGTATACACACACTTGATTTTATAAGGACTACCTATACAACTCTCTATGCTTCCTATGTTTGAACAAGAAGTAGGACTGTGTTTACTTACATAATTTAGCAATTTAATGCTTTATTGTTCTCATAGCTATATGACTCATTATGCACTTAGCTCATATTTATGCAGCATTTGATTGTACAGAATTCTTGATGTTTCTCTAGAGAGCAGGCAGATAATTTTGGATTTTTCAATATATCATGTACATTTTTTACACTGTTGACAACTACTCTAAAATCTTACTACTCAAACTCTCTAGGACCTACTAGTGACAACCCCTGGGAGTTGAAAGAGCATCCTGATGAAAACTGCCAGATTATCAGACATGGTTACTTTACAGCCAGGATCACAATTATAGGTAAGACCAGTGGGGGAAGGACACTATTATCCACCACAGAGCACCCCCTCACTGTACTGACTGGGGCAGGATGGCTATGGGAGTAGGGCCATCCTGACTGAGGGGATACCATACCCACGTAAGCAGAGACTCTTCTAGTTTCTAGATTCTCACTTCCCTACCCCAGCCTTCCATAGACAACTTGGTGGAAATGAGACCCCATGAGGCCTAATCTGCCAGGACCCCGATCCTGTGCACCTCAACAATCTGGATGAGTGTGCCTTCAATGGAAGGCCAGTACATTGCTTCCACAATTTCTACCTTTCTTCCCCTAGCTGACTCCTCAAAGTCACATTTCCATGTGAAGGGAGATAGATCACAGCCACCACATGTGGCTGTACATTTGTGCACTGCCATAGTGCTCGACAGAGAAGACAGGTGGGGTGCACTCTCCTGAAACACCTGCTAAGAGAGGGTGTTGCTGTCTAACACTCACAGGCTCTAGAAATAAAGTTCTAGGCTGGACTGAGGATAAATTCTATTTGATTTTAAAAGGCTACAGGGACATCTATCCAAAGTCATGAGTGATTCCCAGATCTGACAAGAAGGCTGTCTGTTTTGTCCGGCCTCTAACTGATTAAGAAAAGGGTTGATTTGGCTTGGTTTGGTTTCTGTTGTATATTGATGTGTTTTTCTGTGGGGATGTTTTATTAGAGGGAATTCTAGGAGTTAACATCATCCAGATGACAGATGTTCTGATGTCCATGCCACAGCCTGACAACTCCCTGGTGGATTTTGTCGTGACCTGCCAGGGAACGTGAGTACATTGTCTCAGTCAGAGGAACACATCAAACAGGGACCTCAGCCTGAACAAAGGCCTTGACACCAATCCCCTTTCTTTCTTTTTTTTTTTTTAAAGATTTTTATTTATTTATGCATATAGAACTGGGGTACAGGCCAGAGGTGCAGGGGTGGTGAAAGGATTCACCAGAGACAGAGTGGGGAGCGGAACAGGCAGATGGACTGAAATACACTGCTGAGAGGAGCACTCAGCAGTCGGGTCAGGAGAGTTCTGCTGTGCCACATGGGTCAGCTACGTGCCTGGGGATCAAGCTGATGCTGCAAGTGGCTGCAGACAGCCTCATAGTGCTGTGCTCAACCCATTGCACCACCAGGGAGGGCCAGACATCGGTCCCCTCTCTAAGCTGATTTAAATTCCTGATTCATCAATAAGCAGGGCAGAAAGGCCTTAAAGGAGCCTTATGAACATGCACTTATTTGGCTAGAGCCCTATCCTTAAGCTTCCTGAATTTCCTGGCGGTGGCAAGAGGTCGGCGTGATTATAGATATGGTCATCCCTTAATGGCAATGCCCAATCATCCAGTCTCTCTGTGATTTACAAACTCCTTCTAATGCATTGTATAATTTGGTTTTCCTATAATCTGAACAGAACTATATGGAATAGACAATATAAGTGAATAATATTCAATTAACATTGACTAGCTTACATATAACATTGAAATTGAGTAATATATATATGTGTGTAAATGGATAAAATAATCAAGAAAATGAAACAGTATAAAATTTGATCTTATTTGGTAAGTAGAATCACTAAGAAGTTCTCTAGCTTGGAGAAGGAGTAGAATGAGGATGACAGGGAATAGAGGAAAACTTGACTGAAGGAGTGAAGCTGCTTCAGGGGTCAGAGGCCAAGGGCCAGGTAGGAGGAGACCGAGTCCTGACTCTTACCCCACACCCTCATTAATCCCAGTCGTGGAACCTGGTCTCCCCAGCCAGGAAGCCTGACCAAAAGCAGGTTGGCTAAGACAGTGATGCGTGGCCAGGTTATCAGCTGATCACACCAACAGTTGTCAGACATTTTTCATTCAAGTCTCAGCTCCACTTCTACCTTAGCTAAGGATGAAACTTGGGTCCTGTTGATGTTAGTGGGTTAAGAAAGAGGGACAGCCAATGTTCTGGATTAGGTCATAAGTCATCTGACTCCTTCCCAGGGTCATCTATTTAATTCTATTTTGTATCACCTGTTTTCCAGAATAAGTTGGGGCAGCTCTAGAAAAGTTATACATGAAATGGAAAATGATGCTGAATGATCCTCTAATTTTAATTTTTTTATATATATTTTTTTTATTAAAAAGTTTATTTTTACATCATTTTGCACATTTTTTTCATCTCAATTGTAATCCCCACGGGTTTCCCATCACCAAATCACCCCTGTGCCACCACCATAGTCCCATGCATTTCCCTCCCTTCCCCCCCCCCATTTTTGATCCCATTCCCCACTCCACCCCCATAGAATGTCTCTGGTCTATGGTTGTTCATTATTTTTGTTATTTTCTCGCCTGGTCCATTATACTCCTGCTATGAGTGAGACCATCCGGTATTTTTCTTTCTCTTTCTGGCTTATCACACTAAGCATGATCTTTTCCAGCTCCATCCAAGTTGCTGCAAAAGACATGTGTTTCTCTTTTTTGGTTGCTGAGTAATATTCCATTGTATATATGTACCACATCTTTCTAATCCAGTCATCTACTTTTGGGCATTTGGGCTGCTTCCATGTTTTTCCAATTGTAAATAAAGCAGCAATAAACATGGGGGTACAAGTATCTTTTTCAATCAGTGTTTTTGTGTCTTTTGGGTAGATACCTAGGAGTGGGATTGCTGGGTCATAGGGAAGCTCCATGTTTAGCAGTTTGAGGATAATTTTAATTTTTTAACTTAAAACACCATTGAAGTCTTCCACTTAAAATCAGCAATCATGAGTTCATTCTTCTGAGTGGCCTGGGGTCAGTTATTTGCCTACTCCAAGCTGCTTTGTCACCTGCTACACTGGGATGATGTTACTTTCCTCATAAGGTGATCGAAAGGAATGACTATATCATAGATCTAAACTCAGTGCCTCTCACCCAGCAGAGACAGTAGACACTGCATAAACAGCTGCTGCGCTGTTGTCTTCATCATTTCTCTGCAGGAACCCAGGCAGGGCCAGCGGCAGTTGTCATGCTCTTTGCCTAACATCAAAACTGTCTGCTTTGGGCATCCTAGGAAGTCCGTGTGGAAGGAATGCCTCGTGCAGTCTCCAACAGCCCCTGACTGAAATGATAAAGATATAATTTCTTTTTAAAGATTCATTTATGCGTAAAATAAACTGTTATAAAATTTTTAAAAATTGTATTACACAGCCACAGTAATCCAAACAGTATGGTACTGGAACAATACAGAAAATCAGAATTATAGTGACAATTGAAAGTCCACATATAAGCATATAAAGAAACAAAAAACAGACCTACCCAAATATTAATTCCAAATGGTTAAAGATCAGGAGATAAGAACAAAACCAAAAAGTAGCTTAAAAAACAGGGAATAAAAAAAAAAGATGTATTTGTGCATACAGAACTGGAGTACAGGCAGAGGTTCAGGGGCAGTGAGAAGATTCACCAGAGACAGAGTGGGGAGCAGAACAGGCTGACTGATGGAAATACTCTGTTGAGGGAAGCAGTTGAGGGGAGCAGCAGGTGAGACAGGAGAGATCTGCTGCTCCATGTGGGTCACCTCCCTGGCAGGGGGTTGAACTTGTGCTGCTGTGGCTGCAGACAGCTTCTCAGCACTGCTATTTAGCCCATTGTGCCACCAGGGAGGACACTGAAGATATGATATCTTTCCCCTCCACCCTCAGGGACTCACTTTCCTGAAGATACTGATGAAAGGTAGCTCATCACTCTGATTAAAAGTGAAGTCTTTTGGGTAGATACCTAGGAGTGGGATTGCTGGGTCATAGGGAAACTCCATGTTTAGCAGTTTGGGAACCTCAAACAGTTTTCCATAATGGTTGCACTAGTTTGCATTCCCACCAGCAGTGCAGGAGAGTTCCTTTTTCTCCACATCCTCGCCAACATTTGTTGTTGCTAGTTGTTTGAAGATGTGCCAGTCTTCCCACTCCTAGGTATCTACCCAAAAGACACAAAAACACTGATTCAAAAAGATACCTGCACCCCCATGTTTATTGCTGCTTTATTCAATTGGAAAGACATGGAAACAGACCAAATGCCCAAAAATGGATGACTGGATTAAAAAGATGTGGTACATACACACAATGGAATATTACTCAGCAACCAAAAAAAAAAGAAAAACATGTCTTTTGCAGTAACATGGATGGAACTGTAAAAGATCATGCTTAATGAAATAAGTCAGAAAGAAAAGGAAAAATACCAGATGGTTTCTCTCATAACAGGAATATAACGGAACAGGCGAGAAAATAGTGATAATGATGAACAGCTATATACCAGAGACATTTTGTGGGGGTGGAGTGGGGAATGGGATCAAAAACAGTGGAGGGAGGGAAATGCACTGGACTATGGTGATGGCACATGGGTGATTTGGTGATGGGAAGCCCAAGGGGATTGCAACTGAGATGGAAAAATATCCAAAAATATGTAAAAATAAACTATTATAAAATTAAAAAATTAAAAAGTAAAGTCTAAGTGACAAGTCAGCTTGTAGTTTCAGTAAGAGAAAGATGGGATTCCATTTTGTAGAAAGGCCGCCATATACCTTGTAAAGCTGACTTTGAACTCCTCTCTGACACTGTCTCCGTGCCCTCAGAATTCCCACAGAGGTGTGTACCATAATTTCCGACCCCACTTGCCAGATCATCCAGAACACAGTCTGCGACCCTCTGGACATAGGTGACTCCTGCTTGTTGACAGTGAGAAGAGCCTTCAGTAGGTCTGGTACATACTGTCTGAACCTCACACTGAGTGATGATGCCAGCCTGGCCTTCACCAGCACCCTCATCTCCATTCCTGACAGAGGTGAGTTTGTCTCATGGTTTCACAAGTATTTCATATCGCAAATCAAGTGTGCTTCCAATGCCAAAGTTATTCAGGGCTTTGTGATTAATGTTTAGTTTTATTTCAGTGCAAAATTCGTTGAATTATTATTATGTGGATTTGAGAATGGCATTATAATCCAACAGAAAATCTACTTAGGGAAGAGATGAGAGAGAGCCAGTGAAATAGTGGCCAAAGAAGAGTCTTTTGGTAAAAATCAGTCAGTCATGATCATGGGCCGGTTCTATGGGATATGATCACTTCATGCTGGAATAAATTTTGTATTTCAAGAGAAAATGTGAAGTTCGATGTTTAAAATAACAATGTCCTTCAATTAGACACTAATGTTAAGGGAGCCTGGTATCATGTTGTCACTAGAATCCACCTGAGCAAAAATATGAAGTCAAAAGAGGAAGGAGAACCAAGTTGACTCCTGGTTCCCTTCCCCTCACCATGTGTCCCTGTACCCCATCCCAGAGTCTACCAGCACACCACAGGGACAGCAACCAAACAAACCACACTTTGCTTGGAAAAGCAAAATGCTACCAGAGCAGGCTAAGGAATTTCATTGGGGAATTTTCACTTACTGGTGGCTTTCATTTTTTCCCCACCCCAAAATTAGGGCCCTACCTGGTGACCCAACCTGAATTTCACTCATAACCAACTTTGTTGTAAGAACTGCTTTATCTCTTAAAAGGAAGTACTACCTGGTGGAGTGGAAGGGAGGGATTAAACTGTGTACACATTACAGGCCTGATTTTGCCCCTTCCTTTGGGCATGGTCAGATGATCTATTGACTAACTCACAAATAACCCCTTTGGACTTAAAGTTCACCTCACAAGGTTAAATGTACTGAACATGTATTTACTCACTAACCATATGAAAGGCAAAAGCTTCAGTAATCATGCTTAGAATTATTTGTAGGTGGGCTTTTGTTGATGAGATCCAAGATACAAATTTTATTTTATTTATTATTTTAAAGATTTATTTGTGCATACAAGAACTGGGGTATTAACCAGAGGTGCAAGGGTGGGGGGATAGGACTCATTAGAGATAGAGTGGGAGCAGAACAGCCAGATCAAGTGAAATACACTGCTGAGGGGAGCAATAGGTGAGACAGGGGAGGTCTGCTGCACCATGTGGATCACCTCCCTGGTGGGGGATCAAACTCATACTGCAGTGGCTACAGATCACTTCATAGTGCTGAGGTTTAACCTATTGTGCCACCAGGGAGGGCCCCCAGATACAAGTTTTAAAGCAAAGGTACTTGCTGTGCTCTCCTTGATGGTGCAACAGGTTAAAGCACCACATTATGAAGCTCTCCAAAGCCACTGCAGCACAAGTTCAATCCCTGGCCTGGGAGCTGACCCATATGGTATAGCAGACCTCTACTGACCTGCCCACTGCTCCCCTCAGCAGTATACTTTGTCAGTCTGCCTGTTCTGCTCCCCACTCTATCTGGTGAATCCTCTCACTGCCCCTCCTCTTCTGGCCTGTACCCCAGTTCTGTAAGCATGAATAAATCTTTTTTTTTTTTTTTTAAAGATACTTGCTTTAAAATGCACTCCAGTTTCTACAGGGCAGGGTACATTGAGGCCTGGGCTAGAGGGGCAGGGCCAGTCAGTGTATGTGGATCTTCAACACTGTCACCTCCAGGAACTGTTGTGGTTATTTCTTTTAGAATCGCCTTTAGAGTCATTACCTAATCTATGATATTTCCTTTACTGGCAAACCTCTCTTCTCTTATCTAGATTAGAGGCTTAGATATTTGCTTTCCTTTCATTCTTCTTGTACTGAGAGCAGACATTTGTTGTGACCTGAGCCATTTCCAAATCCAAATGAAAGAAACTCAAATGGAGTGTATTTAATCCAGTGGAGATTGTACATTGACATCTTGGGTTTCGAAGTCAGAATTTCCAAAATAGATCATTGTCAAAGACAAAACCATTGACTTTTAGCTGAAATCACTATATTCATTGATTCAATGAACACTCATGAGTATTGAGCGTCTACACCACACCCAGTATAGCACTAGGCTTGAAATATATAATCCCCAATGTGGAAAAAGGTGAAGAGAGTACCTGCTTTTATGAGCAGAACCAGACAACATGTAAATAAGATGATATTGTGAAGAAAATAAAACAAGGTCAGAGAGAGGTCAAAGTGACAGGCATGGGAGATAGGGGACAGCCGTTGACTCAGTAGATGGGGAAGTCAGAGACTGCCCTGTGGACAGTAGCTCCCATTTAGTGAGGGGCATCCTCTGAACTGAGACCTCACTTTTAAGAATGACAGCAACACATTTAGACCCTTGTCAGCTACTGGTGGAGTTTGGGGTTTGTGCTTTATATAAGGGAAGCCATTGCTGGGTTTGAAACACAACCTGTTGGATATTTTTAGAAGATCACTGGTGGCCGATGAATAAAGCCAAGATTATTGGAAAGAAAAAGAGGAAACCGGTAGACAATTTAGAGTTCCTCTCAGGAGAGAAGGCTGGTGACTGCACTGACAATGGTGACAGAGAAGATAGAGAAAAAAATGAACAAACTCTGGTAATGGTGGTAGAGCAAGGCTAGTTAATATGCTAAATTCCAGAAGACATAATCCTGGTTCATGGTTCTCACAAACAAGAGGAAGAACCATATACAAGAAGTAATTATAGGGCCCTCCCTGGTGGCACAATGGGATAGGGTGCAGCACTGCAAGCTGGCCGCAGCCACTTCAGTGCGAGTTCGATCCCCAGCCTGGGAGGTGATCCACATGGCACAGCAGACCTCTCCTGACCCTCCAATTGCTCCCCTCAATGTATTTTGTCTATCTGCCTGTTCTGCTCCCCGCTCTGCCTCTGGTGACTCCTCTCACGGCTTCTGCATCTCTGGCCTGTACCCTCTTTCTGTATGCATAAATAAATAAATCCTTAAAAAAAAAGAAATAATTATAAATGCAACATGAAGAAGGCAGAAGAAGTGGGAAGTAGAATAGTGACAATGGAAGCCGTGGCCCAGGCCCTCATGAATGCCTAGAAGTTATCCTGAAGGGAGGGACACAAGGTCAGTGCAGGGAAGCACATTCCCAGCAGAGGGCTTGGAGATTTGAAAGAGCATCAGGACAATGGGCAACCCCCAGGATTTTTAGCCCAACTGGAAAGTAGTAGTAAAAGATGAGGCAAGAGGGAACCCTCTACTATGTGGGCACTGCTGGGCCAACTGACAGCCTGGCAGGTGTATCCAGGATGTGACGGCTCCCTCCTGAGCCTTTAACACAATGTTCCAGACATGCTAATTCATTCTCTAAATGGAAGATAAATTGACCCAAAGACTATGTATTATTAATGGAGAAGATTACTGAAAGCCCAGAGGGAGCCAAATATCTTCTGAGGGCCCCATTCTTCATTTATTTAATTGCATTACAAGCAACATGTTCCTTAGGTAGAAGATGTCATTAACATGGTCTTGCTTTGTTTTAAGACACAGCCTCTCCTCTTAGAATGGCAAATGGTGCCCTGGTCTCCATTGGTTGTTTGGCCATATTTATCACTGTGATTGCCTTCTTCATGTACAAGTAAGTTGCCAGTTTTCACACCTTTGGTCCCTAGAGTGTATTGTCAAAAATAAATCGCTATGTCTGCGTAAATGGGTAAATGGGCCTTTTTTTTTTTTTTTTGCTTTGAAATATTTTGTTTGTGGGAAGAAAATCTTCCATTGAATACCAAAGTAGCCTGTTAATTTTGCTGTGGTTTTTTTTAATCCTAAAAATGCTACCATATGTCAGTAGCTTTACAAAATTGTCAGCCTAATGTTTAACACATAATCTCGAGTTATATTAAGCAGACACACTGCTTGCATGAAAAAGAGAAAAATAAATATATTTTCATATTGTCATACAAGCCATAGATTATGTTAAACAGAATTAACCATTTGGCACTTGGTATGTAAAAGATTGTACAAAGTAACGTATTCCAGCTGGAGAGCTTTTCTTAATCTATCTGACACACTGCTTTCAGAAAACACAAGGAATACAAACCAATAGAAAACAGTGCTGGGATCGAGTTCAAAGGCAAAAGCTTGAATATTTTCTTCAGCCATGCAAAGGCCGTGTTCTTCCCCGGACACAAGGAGAAAGATCCACTGCTCAAGAACTAACCAGAAATTCTTTACATCTTCAGCCTTTTTTCTTAACAACGGCTCACTGTTTGGTGACTTTTCACTTTTTTCCCTGAAGATTACTGTAAATATATACTGCGGTTCAGGGAGCTCCACCTTTTTTTTTTTATAGATTAAATGTCATTATAGAAAAATGAAGAGGAATGGCACTGTATGAAGCCTCAGGCATGTTATATTACTGAGAAAAGTAGTTAGCATTACTTTCTCTCATTGTGATTTGTGTTTCACTTATGATGTTAAGTGATTTGTAGGGTAGAAATGGGTAAGTGGCAAAATTCAAAGGTCCTGTTCATTAAAGCCTGACCTATGTTAACTGTCAGGCAAGGCTGGACACTGTAGCCTTTCACATGGCCAGATGTATAGAATGAACATGTTCCTGTCCTTAAGATCACAGTCTAAGCTAACCGAATCCTATTTCAGTGAACATGTCTGAGTTGCCAGCAGAATGAGAAAGGTCAGGTCGTAAATATGTTGTGTGTGATTATCAAACTAAAAAGAAAAAGTTCATCTTATAAGCAATTGTGAATATTTTCCTGACAACCTGCCAGGACTAGCTATGTGAAGGAATGACATTCATTCATTTGTTTATCTCATGGGCATTTAGTCAGTGCTTTCTGTATATCAGGCATGTCGCTAGGTGCATGGACCTGCACTCAGAGTACTCACACTTCTCTGTCTAAATCTAAATTTCTGTACACGCAGGTGCTTGCGTTTGGAATCATAGATTATTATTTTTCCAGAGAAGGAGGTCCCTGATTTCCTGTTTAAATGATATATTTAGAAATGTGATCATAAGGGGTGTATCTTCATTTGTAACTAAAACCATCTACCTTGTGAGACATGACATTTCTTTTCTCTCCTTCCTGAAAAATAAAGTCTGAAAACAGAAGATATCTTGGAAGCGTAATGTTTTCTCCAAGTTGTTCCTGGATTTTCATTTTTCATTTATAGTATCTGACACATTAAAAGTTGTTTAACACTGCCCCAGAAAGCACTGCCATTCTTGTCATTTTATATTGTAAAATACATGTATAGAATATAGGAAAATTGCCATTAAAAATTAAATGTATATAATCAGGTCAATCTAAAGTAAGAGATTATTTTATAAGCAATTGCTCTGGACTCTTTGAACAGACAGCATGACAATTGAAAATAAAGTTGAGGTTACAGTTCTAGGTCATTGATCAATAAATTTTTCTGTGAAGAGTCAGGGAGAAAATATTTTATTCTTCATGGGCTATGCAGTCTCTGTCACAGCTGCTCCGCTCTGTTATTGTATCATGACAGTAACCATAACATAAATGGAAGAATATGGCTGGGTTCCAGTAAAAGAACATTTATAAAAACAGACGTTGAGTCAGAGAGGACCCACAGACCAGAGTTTGCGGATCCTGCTACTAGATTAAAAGAGTCTAAAGAGACTTAACAGTCGAAGCAACTTGAGGTTTTAAATCGAATTGTCACATAAAGAAAGAAAAAGCAGGCCCTCCCTGGTGGCTTAGCAGGTTAAAGCACAGCACTGAGAAGCTAAAGCCACTTCAGTGTGAGTTCAATCCCTGCCCTGGAGGTGTCCACATGGCATGGCAGACCTCTCCTGACTCACCCACTGCTCCCCTCAGCAGTGTATTTCATCAGTCGGCCTGTTTTCTGCACCCCACTCTGTCTCTGGTTAGTCCTCTCACGGCCCCTGTACCTCTGGCCTGTATCCCAGCTCTGTATGCACAAATAAATAAAAATCTAAAAAGGAAAGAAAAGGCTATGAAAGATATTCTTAGAACAATCAGGCAATTTTGTTTTTGTTTTTGTTTTCAGCCAGGGAAATTGGAACACAATTTGGATACCAGGTAATAATACAGAATTATTGTTAGTTTTCTTGAGGAGCAGGGATAGCATTGTCTAGACTAATAGTCTGGTTCCTTCACTTACAGATATTCTACAGGTCACACATGAGCAAAATTTGTTCTGATGCTGTCCCAAAGAGAACAAAAATTGCAGAATACAAATCATGACACTTCTCTCCATTTGTGTGTTACTGTAGGTCAATGGTTTCAACAACAGATTACTTTGTCCTGTGGGGGACACTCACAATATCAAGGGTAATTTTTGGTTGCCACATCTATAGTGGGGTGATACTAGTATCCAGTTGATAGAGGCATGGTGCTGGTGAACATCCTACAGTCTATAGGAGGGCACCCACAAGAATCATCTGTCTCATAATGTCAGCAATCCTGGTAGCATAATTAAAGCAGCCCTGGGCTTGAATGTAAAACTGGGAAGACTAGGATATGAATCCAACCCTCCATTTAAATCTGAGTAGTCCTGAACAACTAATTTGGCCTTTCCTGACCCTCAGGGTCCTCATCTATAAGATAGTTATATATATAATCCCTCCCTAGTTGACTTCACCAAGCTGCTGCAAACCGATCTGGAAATGAGTGGCCAGGATAGTGCTTTGTATGTGGCTTAGTGGAAGAGTCTATATATGAGGCCTGAGAATAGAGCAAGTGTGAAAAGGATTTTTTTTTTTAGGGTGTCTAGAGGCCAGTACCTAACACAGAAAAGTAATACCATGTTGTAGTAGAATCACCTGAAGTTTGTTAAAACAGACTCATGAGCCCCACCATCACAGCCTCTAAGACAGTGTTCCTGAGTGGGGCCTCATAATTTGAATTTTCCACCAGTTCTTAAGTGATGTTGATATTACCACTCCTAGCATCTAACTTTGAGAAGTGCTGTACTGGTGTATGAGATACCCTCTCCTATCAACAGGGTGTAGCAGAGAGCAGCAAATATACACTCCATCCAGGAGGCCCGCAGAGATCCTCATCAGTCTGCCCATTAATGTGACACAGAGCAGGAGAGAGGGCTGAAATCATGAATTACTTAGACTTCTATTCTCTGTGTGTCCTTGGCAACAAGTCACTTAACTGCTGCTGAATGGCCAACTGTTTAATGGGGGGAATACCCTAAAAGATAGTGGGATGACTTGATTAATGTTTGCTGAGAATTAAAACTTCCAAAAAAAATTGAAATGTGTAGGTAATAAATTATTCTGGGAATTTCTTATTCCTTGGACTTTTTATAAATGTCTGCATTTTAAACACTTCTGACTCATTCATAAAATTTGGTTGCACTTGTAGAAGTTTCAATTGTTTGATAGTTTAGAGGGTAGTATTTTTAATGTTCATTATTCATTATTTCTATAAAAATACAATTTTTTTATTTATATTTTTATGCATACAAGAGCTGGAATGTAGGCTCCAGAGACAGAGTGGGAAGTGGAACAAGAAAACTGGCTGCAAAAAACTGCTGAGGGGTGCACTGGGTGAGACAGGAGGGTTTGCTGTGCTATGTGGGTCAGCTCCCTGGCCAGGGATTGAATTCGAGTTGCAGTGGCTGCGGATTGCTTCATAGTGCTGAGACTTAACCCCCTTGTACCACCAGAGAGGCCATGAAAATACATCATTTGAATGCATTTACTTTCTGCATCCAGAAAGCAAAATAACTCCAAACCTAGGTAGCAGGCTAGGGGAGGATGAGAAGATAATTATTCAGGGTGTGAAGGTGACTGCCTGTTCATGGAGCTTTCGGTTGGGGGGAAGAAATCCTATGAGTTTTGCAAAGAAGGTCTCTAAGCTGATGCAACAATACCCCTGAAAAAATTAAAGTTTCATTCTCAAGAATCACCTCCTGTAGCCCGATTAGATCCTACAACTACCATTTATTGAGTACTTGTATGTGTCAGGCTCTGGGTAGTGGAGACACAGCTTTGTGCAAGGGAGTTCTCCTGAAGGAGTGGTGTAGGCCTTTTTAATAGTGAAAACCCTAACCACAGGCCTTGAGCCCCCATGGTGGCCAACCCTGTATGCAGGGGAATTCCTCTGCAATTTTTTAAAGGATGTATTTATGTATACAAGGACTGGGATACAGGCCAGAGGTGCAGGGGCGGTGAAAGGATTCACCAGAGACAGAGTGAGGAGATGCAGATCAAGTACACTGCTGAGGGGTGCAGTGGGCATGTTCAGGAGAGGTCTGCCCGTGCAATGTAGGTCACCTTCCAGGCTGGGAATTGAATTTGCATTGCGGTGGCTGCAGACAGATTCATAGTGTTGTGCTTTAATCCATTGCACTACCAGGGATGGTCCCTTCTGCGATTTATAACTAACATGCCATTCCTTTCATCTTCAAAATTCTGAAATGAAATTTGCTTTGGAGATCTTTGATAGGCTTTTGGGAATTTAGGGGTCTTAATGATATTTCATTATTTAACCAATTTTAATTCTATGTCTAATTTTCCCTCAAATGTCATCATGTCACTTCACTAAACAAAAATCTCTGAAATTAGAATGCCATTGTCACTGTTGATTTTATTGTATAGCTTTTAGAGATAAATAATAAGATTTGATCTTAATAAGTCCTTCATTTTAAGGTATTAGAATAAATTCCTCTAGGGTTTAAAAAAAAAAAAAGAGGGATTAGGCCTCCCTGGTGGTGCAGGGGTAAGTGCTATCAAGCTATCACCAACCACAGCAGCATGAATTCAAGCCCTGGCCAGGGAGCTAACACACCTGGTGCAGCAGACCTCTCCTGTCTTCTCCACTGTTCCCCTCAGCTGTGTACTTCGTGGATCTGCCTGTTCAGCTCCCCACTTTGTCTCTGGCGAGTCCACTCACCACCTCACCATCTCTGGCCTATACCCTAGCTCTTGTATGTACAAATAAATACATCTTTTAAAAAACACACAACACAGAATTCTCATACACTTTAGTGAAAATGCAAGATGTGGGAAAATTCAGCAGTTTGGCAGTTTCTTACAAAGTTTAATATGTACAAACTATATGTCTTAGCCTTCTACTCTTAGGTATTTACCCAAGAAAAACTAAGACATGTGTTTTCACAATGCTGTACTGAATAATTTCATGATTATGTACTGAAATGTTCATAATAATGTTATTTGTAATAGCCATAAACTAGAAGCATCCAAAATTTCCATCAGTTGGTGAATGGTTAAACAAATGTGATATGTCCATACGATAAATTCTACCTGGCAATTAAAGGAACATATTACTCATAGATACAACAACATGGATGACTCCCCAAAGCATCATGCTATAAGAAAGATGCCAAATACACTGAATGATATTCTGAAAAACTAGAGTAGGTGAGCAAATCTGGGCCTGCCTGGGACTAGTGATGGGGGGAGGCAATGGGCTGGACAAGGGAGCTTTGTGAGCTGAGGGAAATATTTTATACCATGATTGTAGTGGTACACAATTGTTAAAATATGTCAAATTGAGGAATTAAAATGGATTGTGTTTATTTTATAGAAATATACTTCAATAAAGTTTGTTAAAAATGAAAAGACATAGGCTCAAAGAATATATTTACAGTATGATGATAATAGGAATGATAAAAGATTAGTGTCCTGATGTACAAAAAGCTGTTTGCAAAATATAAATCATCATACAATGAGACATCATTTCACACCTGCCAGACTGGCAAAAGATGAAAAAGATCAGACCAAATTGAGTGTTGACTAAAGTGAGGATACTGAAACCCTTACACTTTGCTAGTGGGGTTTATATTGGAACAATGGTTTTGGGAAATAACAAGGCATTATCTGGTGAAGTTGAAGATGCACACACCTTTGACCCAGCACCTTATTCATAAGTGTGGAACACCCCAGGGAAACTCTAAGACACATGTCCCAAGGGATACAGCCAAGAATTTTCTGAGCAACATGAGGAACAAACAAAATTTCCATCAATGGTAGAATAGCTAATTCAGTTGACATACAAAAGAATACCAAACATGAGAAAATGAATGAGCCTATAGCTATGAATACCAAAAGCAAAGATTCTTACTAGTGTCAATTGACATAAAAAATGCAAGTCACCATTGACTATGTACATTAGAATATCATTTATATAAAGTTTGCAAAAGCATGGAAAACTAAACAATTTGGTAACATATACAAACATGTAATAAGTCTTAGAAAAGAAGACAGAAGACTTATTATCTGAAATTCAGCACAGTCGTTGCCTCTGGGAAGGAATGGGTCCCCTCAAAGAGGAGAGCAGATTTAATATGAGAACAAATGCAAAGCAAAGCGGAGTTCAAGACATTTTTGTTTCTAGCGAGGGAAAAACCTCCCCATGAGCTCTTCAGGCAGTTGAAAGCACTTGTTCCTGCCATTCTTGTCCATGCTGCCCAGGGCTGAGCATTTCAGGGGGAAAGAGGAATGGAGGGAGTTGTCTTTGAAAGAGAAGGCTGACTTAGGAGTCTTCTCATTTTAATCTTTTTAAAGTTAGAATTACCTTAAATTTACTCCAATTTGCTCAGCATTTAGTTTGTCTCAATGATAGCTGTAGCTTACTCTAACATTTTTGCAATGTGTCTTCCTGAGAGAACTGTTGGACCTTAATTTGATCATAAACCCACTGTTTGGTAATTGTAAAGTGAACCAATTGTAAAGTGAAGCCACGCTCATCAGCCTGGTCAGCGTCAGAAAGTTTCTGCAGCAGCAGCCTCTTTCTTTGTGGCTTTTGTTGTTCTAGTTAACTTATTTGTCCCCCCCCAAACAGGAAATAAATCCCTTGAAAGCTGGGATCTTGTCTGAAGCACCTAGAACAGTGCCCAGAACATGGTAGGGGCTGAAAAAATGTTTTGGATAAATATATGAATGTTTTGGATAACTGAATATGCTAAAGCCATATGGATGTATATGTGTTGTTAGTCCCTAAGTGGCTACACCTTTGATGTCACCTTGCTCTGGCAGTAGCAGTAGCCATTGCATCAGCAGCAACTGATCATCCTCCAGCTGAAAAGGGTCTGAGGGAAATGCACTCACACCAGACTTGGACTCAGAACTTTTACCAGGAGCAAAGTATTTTAAGCAGCTTGCATGGATCAGGCAAGAGCAATCCTAAATTCATTGGTTGTATTTCTCAGAGGAGGTTTGTGATGCCACCACGGACATGAAAGAATTGATCTGCTGCAACAGTGGGAATGAATGTCTGTTGTGACTAGTTTTCCTTAGGTTTCTACTCTTAGGTATTTACCCAAGAAAAATTAAGACAGTTGTAAAGGTCAGACCCAGTCCTAACCTGATTACTCTGTGGAACATCTTTCCCCCACCCCCTCTTCTGCCACTGTGTGTGGTGGTAATTTGGCTTCAGCTGAAATCAAGTAGAGGCAGGGATTTAACCAGGGGGTGTGAGTTACTGCTACCAAGGCAGTTTGTTTGCTCTGAACCAGTCCTCAGGAGGTTAGCCATGGAGATCTGGGTGGTTATACTCATCTGCTTTTCAGAATTACTATGGTCTCACAATAACTGCAAAATCTCCTAAAACTGGGACTACAAAGAGGAAACATACAGCTGAATCTTTACTGGATTGTCAACAAAGTAGATCAGAAGAAATCAGAGGCTCAGTGGAATCAGACTTCAGTGGAAAGAAAATGCAAGTTTATGTTGTGGAGGTGAGGCTCTAATTTGGTTTTTGGGTCGCAGGGGTCATAGAGCTTCTGAATCATTATTTAGTGCCACAGCAGGAAGTTCACAGTTTTGCCAGTCAGATGAGTTGTGGGATCTGGGGAGAAACAGGCGCTGTATCTGGGGAGGAACACTATCAAAGTTGCTTCTCTGTGGGAAATGGGTCAGGTGCAGCTAGTGCTTCAGGAGAGTGGGATGGTCCTGTTTGTGGACTTGATTACAAACAGCAGTTTCTCATAACCTCTGATTTCAGAGACAGTTTTTCAGCACTATTGCTTAATGTTTATCTGCAAACGTTGTTTTTACAGATCTTCCTTTTTACCCAAGTTAAGTCTGGGAAGCAGAGGGTGGGGAATGATTGTAACTCTCAAAGGCTCTCAAGAATACAAAATTTTCCCATTTCTGAACAAGGTTAGCTGGTAGGCTTAAATTCTTTTCAGTCTCTGGTTCCTTTATTTTTTTTCCCTTTAATTTTTTTAAAAGATTTATTTATTTATGCATAGAAGAACTGAGGTACAGGCCAGAGGTGCAGGAGATGCAAGGATTCACAAGAGACAGACTGAGGAGCAGAACAGGCAGATTGACCAAAAAACACTGCTGAGAGGAGCAGCGGTTGAGATAGGAGAGGTCTGCTGCACCATGTGGGTCAGCTCCCTGGCTGGAAATGGAACTCATGGTGCAGTGACTGTGGATAGCTTCATAGTGCTGCACTTTAACCCATTGCACCACCAGGGAGGGTCCCTCTGATTCCTTATTAAAGACAGAATCAGAAGGAGGGAGGTTAATAACCAGTCTTTGTCTTTGGGGTTGGAACATATTTCTGAGAATGCAGGGCTTGATTATAAACCAGGATCCATGAGTAGAAGGACTTCCTAAGGTTATGGACCCTGAAACCATCCTCAGCTGTGTTCATTCAGGTGCCTCCTATTTGTTCCCAAACTTGTTTCCTGGAGCTTTGTAGAAGGTAGGAAGGTGAGGAGCTGCATCTATGTCCTTTGCGGCTAGCCCCCTGGGCTGGGTCAGGGGACAAGCACTATTCTGGGAAATGATATCAGAAGGATTGCAAGGATCTTCTTCAAAGAGCACAGAGGTAGGAAGAACAGAACAATCTGGGGATAGAAGGGCTAACCTAGAGAACGGCTTCCCACCTCTTGCTGCCTGTGCATGGTCCCCTCATATTTCAAAGCTATTATTTGAAACTGGGCCTCTAAGCACCTATCTTGTCTCCTCAGAATGTTGGGTAGCTCCTAGGGAGGAACCAGAAAAAAAGGAATTAGGCAGATCTCAGAGCTGGGACTGAAGGAGTGATCTGAAATTCAAAAAGTACTATATAATCCACCCCAACGTCAAGTCAACGACTGCCATTCTTTCTGCCCAAATACTAAAGTCATAGGAGCAGCCTCTCCATGGTGTCTTTCACCCAGTATCTCCCCTTCCAACCTCTTTCTCCATTTCTCCCCCTTCTTCCCTCCTACCTCAATTTATATATGCACCTAGATCCTTCTTCAGCATGGCATGGTGGGAAATGCAGAAGGCGGTGTCATGTTAGTCAAGTGTGGGAAAATGGCCTGGTTTACTGCACCCTGTGGGATACTCCTCCCCCACTTGTATGGAGATGCAGCTCTGACAGTGGGGAAATGGAATTAAAAGAGGATGGAACTGGTACTACTGAACAAAAGAGATTTATTTGTAATTCTTGTTATATTTTAAAAAATATCTGGAAACGATTGCAAATATTGATGGTGGTATACACAGGAGCTTGTATATTTCTGAAGCTTTAATTTCTACTGGAACCTGTAAAGTCTTTCCCCCCACCCCCCTTTTTTTTTTAATTTATGCATAGAAGAATTGGGGCTTAGGCCAGAGATGTAAGGGGTAAGAGGATTAACCAGAGACAGAGTGGAGAGCACAACAGGCAGATCTACTGAAATACATTTCTGAGGGGAGCAACAGGAGAGACCCAAAGAGGTCTGTTGTGCCATAAGTAGGTTAGCTCCTTAGCCAGGCTAGGAACTCAGGCTTCAGGGGTGATAAGGCTGAGACAACCCTTTCGCCACCAGGAAGGCCCTAGAAAGTCTTCCTTTTAGAAGTCACCAGTCTTAGAGAAATGAGTTCTTGTTCTGATTTGGCCACAGACAAGTAGCTGTTCTTCACTGGGTGTCTTTCTGTTCACAGATTCTATGTTCTAATACTTAACCTCACCTCAGCATTTCTTATTCTCACGGAGGTGGGCCTCACAGTGCAATCTATTTGCATTAACACTTTCATAAGGGAGGTGCAGATAATAGATTTTCTACATGATTTCAAATTTGCAACAGATATTTTGATAATGTAAGGTAAGTCGATTACAATATACGTCCTGGTTCCAGTCTAATCAGCAGCAGCAATAGACACTAGCACAACCGTATATTCAGTACTAGGAGCTATTTTAGGAGCTGTGGATAGAGTAGTTAAAATAAAGCAAGAATTTCTGCTTTAAGCAGTTTACAATCTTAGTGAAGACAGACTTAAAAAAATAAAGTCAGGGCTCTGCCTGGTGGCACAATGAATTAGGACGCAGCACTGCAAGCTAGCTGCAACCGCTTCAGTGCGAGTTTGATTCTCGTCCTGGAGGTGATCCACATGGTGTAGCAGACCTTTCCAGTCTCGCCTGCTGCTCCCCTCAGCAGTGTACTTCATCAGTCGGCCTGATCTGCTCCCCACTCTGTCTCTGGTGAGTACTCTCACCACCCAGTTCTGTATGCATACAAAAATAAATCTTTAAAAAAAAATAAAGGCAAAGACAAAGATGCCTCCATAATGCGTCACTAAGACTAAAGTAAAGCAAAGTGGTTAGTGAAACCCCAATTCTCTGACTTCTACCAAAAAAATGCGAGCTCCAGTCACTCCCCTAGCATCAAGGTCATCCCCTTAGCCCGCGGAGTTCCACGCTCCACTCGCAGCCCCGCCCACATTCCTGACGTCAATTTTCGCGGCCGCGCAGGATTGAGCTGACCAATCGAAAATCTCAGAGACCTCACCGCCTCCGTTAAGTCCCGCCCCGGGAGTCGGCGCGCGGCTGTGGTGATGGGGTCGAGTGTCTGTGTGGCGCGGCTGTTCCGGACGCTGCAGTGTCGCCGGGCCAAAATTTACCCGCGCGGCGCAAGACCGGTGGCGGCCGCGGGGCATCGGCTTCAGCCGCTAGCTGCGGGGCGGCTTCCGGCGGGCCCAGGGCTCTGCCGGGCATACCTGACACCAGACGCTGCGCGCGGCCTGCAGGGCGGGACGCGGCTGGAGGAGCCGGAGGAGCCGGCCGCGGGCGAGGGGCTCCCGGAGTCGGGCGTAGTAGGTACAGTTTCAGACGAAGGCGGCGGTGGTGGTGGCCTCTCTGGGAACCCGAGGGCCGAGACCTAGCTGAGAGGGCTTTGAGTTGCCTCTTTCTGCGTTTTCCTTGTCATTGTAAAATTCCCACGTTTTCAGAGATGGAAGGGTGTTCAGAGTTTGTTGGCACCAACTTGAATACTTAGTGAACAAACTGAGGCTGAGACTTGAACGTCTAATGTCTTCAAGACTCCAGGTGTCTGAAGGGCCACACTAGGCCCTTGGCGTCACAACCTCATCCGCATTCCCCTTTATTTCCACCCTCTTCGAGGGTCCAGAGAAATCCCTAGTGAAAGTGTTAGGGCGTGAGGATTTTGAGGAATGGGTAGCAGCTGGTAAGCAGTGGCATCGGAAGAAGCACTTTTATAGAGAAGAGGCCGATTGAAGGTCCTCATTGTAGAAAGAAATGGTAAACATCACATTGTGAAAGCTTAGCATATGAGAGAAGTCTTAGTGTACTTAGCCAGTTGGTCCTTGGAAGTCAGCTTTAGAAATGAATAGACCTATAAATTAACAGGCTCCAATACTCTTGTATGATGTACAGATTATTATGGGGGTGGGGAGAGAATATACTCACAGGTAGCAGTTGTTATATAACCCAAGTTACTTTGTAAGAAAAACTTGAGGTTTCAAAAGGAGAATCACTTTAAGAATTTCAGCTGTTTTCTTTGGGTGATTTTGGGCCACACATTTAGTTAGGTCTCAGTTTCTTCATCTCACAAGTGAAGGTTATGGACCAAATACTGCCTTAGAGCCCTTTCAGCTAACAGTTCTAGTTCTGTGATCCTTTAGGGCTGCGATTCAGTTAGTATGCCTCAGGATATCACCACCTCCCCAACTTGTATTGCTGTTTTACTTTCTGCCCATAGCAGTTCTTTGAGATATTCTGAACAGAAAGTCATTTATTGCTGGTGGTAATAGCAAAGACTAGATATTGGTGCATTATAATCGGAGCACCCTATCCATAAAAGTTGAGCACTGCCATTTAAAACCAAGGTCTAGGTTCATCTATCAGAAGATCGGTACCCTGTTGTCTTTATAAATATATCTAAATACCCTATGGAAGAGCATTTAATTGTCGACTGCCTACATCATTGGTGCTTACTGAGTCTGTCTTCTACTTTGCTTCCTAACACAAGGAAATCTTCATGCATTTCAGATCCTACTGGTCCCAAGTTTGACATCGATACACTGGTTTCACTTCTGAGACAAGAAAATGCAAGAGACATTTGTGTGATCAAGGTTCCTCCAGAAATGAAATATACAGATTACTTTGTGGTTGGTAGTGGGACTTCTACTCGACACTTGCATGCAATGGCCTTCTACATTGTGAAAATGGTAGGATACTTTCTTTTCTCTCTGGAAGATGTTAATTGAATGGAATAGTGTTAGGGCATCAGGATGATGAGCAGCACTTAAAAGTAAATCCATCGTATGAGATTTTATAAATAGAAATTACTTTGTAAGAAAAAGCTTTTTTTTTTTTTTTTTAAGCATTTTAGGACAGGATTTTTTGGAAGAGAGTCATGCATAGTCACAGGCAGGCAGGAGAGCTGCCAAATTTATTTTTTTATTGATAACATTGCATTCTGTTTAGTTGGATATAATAACTTTGATTCCATTGACATTGTAAGTTTAAAACCATATCACATGCAAATTAATTTTGCTTATATTCTCTATTTAGAGATACTGGTGATAGAGTACCTTATTGAATTTCTGTTTTGTTTAAGAATTTTTTTATATTAGTTTACTTATATATATTTTACATCATTGTTCATTTTGTATAATGTTTGCTTTCTCTCAGGTGTCCCCATAGAATTCCCACCACCAGTTCACTGTGCTCTATTGCCATAGTCCCTCTTCCCTCCCTTGTTTTGATTCTTCTTCCCACCCACTCCAGAATGTCTCTGATTTATACTTGCCTGTTGATTTTTTTATTATTATTTTTTTCCCCTCATCCATTGTTTGGTTCACCTATATTTCTCCTGTAAGTGAACCATCCAGTATTTTTTCTTGTACCTTCTATTTCACTGAGCAAAATCCTTTCTAGCTCCATCCATGTCATGAATGGCATGAGTTTATTTATTTTTTTTTATTTCATTGTGTATCTTCTTGATCCAGTCATCTACTTTTGGGCATTTGGGTTGTTTCCATATCTTACCTATTATAAACAGTGCTGCAGTAAACACAGAGGTGCAGGTATCCTTTTGAATTAATGTTTTGGTTTTTTTTTTTTAAACTTTATTTATTTATGCATACAGAACTGGAGCACAGGCCAGAGGTGTAGGGGTGGTGAGAGGATTCACCAGAATTGGGTGGGGGTGGAGAGAAGAACAGGCAGATTGATGAGGTAGAGTAGTACAGTGTTGAGGGGAGTAGTGGGTGAGACAAGAGAAGTCTGCTGCACCATTGTGCCACCAGGGAGGGCCATGAATTAATGTTTTTGTGCACACTGGGTAGATACCTAGGAGTGGGACTACTACTGGGTCATATGCTAGCTCCATTTTTAGTAGTTTGAGGGTCCTCCATACAGCTCCACACAGCTTTTCATAGTGGTTAGATCAGTTTGCGTTCCCACCTGCATTATAGGAGAGTTCCTTTTTCAGCACATCCTTGCCAACATTTGTTGTTCCCTGTGTTTTTTTTTTAAACGGTGTATTTATTTGTTCATACAGAACTGGAGTACAGGCCAGAGGTATAAGGATGGTGAGAGGATTCACCAGAGACAGAGTGGGGAACAAAACAGACTTTGTCAGTCTGAGTGGAGGGGAGTAGTGGACGAAACAGGAGAGGTTTGCTGCGCCCTGGCTGGGAATGGGACGTATGCTGAAGCTGTGGTTAGCTTCATAGTGCTGTGCTTTAACTTGTTGAGCCACCAGGGAGGGCCCTGCCTGTTTTTCTAACATGTGTCATCCTCACTCGTGTAAGGAGGTATCTCATTGCAGCTTTGATTTGCATTTCCCTAATTATAAGGGATGTTGAACATATTCTTCATATATCTGTTGGCCATTTACATTTTCTTTTTGGAGAAGTATCCTTTTAGTTCTATCCATTTTTGACTGGATTGTTGACTTTGTTTTTGTTCAGTCTTGTGAGTTCTTTGCAGATCTTTGTGATCAGCCCCTTATTTGTATGGAGTACAAGCATTTTCTCCTAATCAGTAGGGTCTCTTTGTTTTGGCTAATGTCTTTTTTTCTATACAGAAACTTTTTTAGTTTGATGTAATCCTAGCTGTTATATTTTTCTTTCTTTGCTTTGGGAGATGAGTCTTTAAAGATGTTACTGAGATGTTGATGTTTGTCCTGTAGCATTTTACCTTTTTTTTTTTTTTAAGATTTATTAATGCATACAAGAACTGGGGTACATATAAGAACTGGGGTACAGACCAGAGGTGCAGGGGATGAAAAGATTCATCAGAGACAGAGTGGGGAGCAGAACAGATAGATGGACTGAAATACACTGCTGAGGGGAGCAGTTGGTGAGATAAGAGAGGTCTGTGTGCCACTTCCCTGGCAGGGATCCAACACTTGCTGCATCCAGTAGCTGTCAGTAACTTCATAGTGCTGCGCTTTAACTCCTTCTGCCACCAGGGAGGGCCCTTGTTCCTGATCTTAAAGGGAAGACTTTTAACTTCCCACCATTGAGAATAATACTGGCTGTGGGTTTGTCATATATGGCTTTAATAATGTTAAGCTATATTCCTTCTATCCCAAGAATTTCGAGGGCTTTCATCATAAATGGATGTTGAACTCTGTCAAATGCTTTCTCAGCATTTACTGATATGATCATGTGGTTTTTATTTTTCTTTTTATTGATGTGCTGAATTACATTAATTGATTCTTGGATGTTGAACCATCTTTGTGCCCCTGGAGTAAATCCCCCTTGGTTGTGGTATATTATCCTTTTGATATATTGTTGGATTCTGTTGGCAAGGACTTCATTGAGGATTTTTGCACCAGTGCTCATTGGGGAGATTGGCCTGTAGTTTTCCTTTGTGCATGTTGTCTTTGGTTTTGGTATTAGTGTAATGTTGGCTTTATAGCATGTGTATTTGGTAGTACTCTTGTCTCAATTTCTTGAAAGAGTTTGTGTAGGATAGGCACTTGCTCATTTGATAGAATTCATTTGTGACACCATCTCGTCCTGGGCTTTTTATTTTTTTTGGAGAGTGTTTAATTACTGTTTCAACTTCACTTCTTGTAATTGGTTTAGGTGTTGGCTTGTAATCTGCTTAAGGGTTTTATTATTTTTTTTTCTTTTTCTTTTTTTTTTTTTTTTTAAGATTTTATTTTATTTGTGCATACAGAGCTGGGATACAGGCCAGAGATGTGGAGGGTGAGAGAATTCACCAGAGACGAGTGGAGTGCAGAACAGGCAGATCAACGAAATACACTGCTGAGGGGAGCAGCGGGCGGGTCAGGAGAGGTCTGCCACGCCATGTGGTCACCTCCAGGGCAGGCGGGAATCGAACTCATGAGGAAGCGGCTTTAGATTCTCAGTGCTGTGCTTTAACCCGCTGCGCCACCAGGGAGGGCCAGGGTTTTATTCTTTAGCTTTGGATGGTTTTATCTTTCTAGGAATTTGTCCATCTCTTCTAGATTGTTGAACTACTTGCATGTAAATGTTCATAGTAATCTATGATTATTGCTGTCATAGTAATCTATAGTAATAATCTATGATTATTCTTTTGATTTCTATTGAGTTTATTGAAATTTCTCCTCTTTCATTTATTTGTGTTTTCTCCCCCCCCCCTTTTTTTTTTTTTTTTTACTTTGTGAGTCTGGTTAGAGGTTTGTCTATTTTTTTTTTTTTTAGTTTCTATTTAATTTATTTCTGAATTGATTTTATTTCCTTTGCTTTATTGGGTTTTATTATTTCCTTTGCTTTATTGGGTTTTATTTTTAGTTTGTTGTTGCTCTTTCTCTAGTTCTTTGAGATGGGAGATTGGATTGTTTCTTTGAATTCTTTGTTTCTTGATGTAGCTACTTACTTTTCTCTTATTACTGCTTTTGCTGTGTCCCATACTTTCTGGAAATTGTGTTACTGTCATTCATCTCAAAGTACTTTTAATCACTTTTTATTTTTTTAGATTCATTTATGCATACAAGAACTGGGCCAGAGGTACAGGGGATGGAGGCTGAGAGGATTCACCAGAGAAAGAGTGGGGAGTAGAACACACAGATCCACTGAAATACACTGCTGAGGGGAGAAAGTGGGAGAGGTTTGCTGTACCATGTGGGTCAGCTCCCCGACCAGCGATTGAACTCAGTGCTACAGTGGCTGCCAGTAGTTTCATAGTGGTGAGACTTAACCACTTGCGCCACTAGGGAGTCCTAATCTTTAATCTAATGGTCTTCGAGTAGTGTGGTTTTCAGTCTCCATGATGGGGGAGTTCCTTGCTTTCTTATATGACTTATTTCTACTTTGACACCTTTACAATCAGAGAAGATAGATGGTATGATTTTAGTGTGTCTGTTGATATTTGTCTTGTGGCCCAATGTGTGATCAGTCCTGGAGATTGATTGTATGCACTTGAGAAAAATATTTATACCTGGATTTTTGGGGGGTGTAGTGTTCTATAGATATCTGGTAAGCCCATGAAGTCTGGGTCTTTATTTAGGGCTCTACTATCCTGTTTATTTATTGTCTTGTTGATCTCTTCATTGGTGAGTGGGTGTTGAAATCTTCAGTATATGTATTTTCTTTTATGGGTAATTACAGAGCTGATAATTATCTAATATCTTTTGGTGCTCCTTCATTTGGTGCGTATCTGTTAATGAGTGTTATATCTTCCTGATGCATTGTCTGCTCAATCATAATGTAGTGACCATCTATATTTATCTTTTGTAGTTGTGTTTCCTGGCGGCAGCAGAAGGTTGAATTTTGTTTTTTTAATCGAGCCTGCTACTGTCTTTTTATTGATAAGTTTAGTACATTTACTTTTAAGGGTAATATTGAATACATTGGCTTCTGTATTTGCCATTTGCTTGTCTTTTTGTGATTTTATTCCTTATTTTGTTCTTATTCATTCCTCTGTTGGTTTTGACTTTAAACTTTTTTTTTTTTTTTTAAGATTTATTTATTTATGCATACAGAACTGGGGTACAGACCAGAGGCTCAGGGGCGGCGAGAGGCTTCACCAGAGACAGAGTGGGGAACAGAACAGGCAGATTGACGAAGTACACTGCTGAGGGGAGCAGCGGGCGGGTCAGGAGAGGTCTGCCACGCCATGTGGTCACCTCCGGGGCAGGCGGGAATCGAACTCATGCGGAAGCGGCTTTAGATTCTCAGTGCTGTGCTTTAACCCGCTGCGCCACCAGGGAGGGCCATGGTTTTGA